GAGGATTTGAGTTTAAATCAACCTCAGACACTTACTGGCTATGTGACCCCGGGCAAGTCATTTAACTCTGTTTGCCTCAGTTCCTCATCTGTAATATGAGCTGGAGAAAGAAATGGCAAAACACTCCAATATCTTTGCCAATGAGACCCCAAATGGGGTTTTGGAGAGATAGACACCACTGAAATGACTCAAGGACAACAACAAAATATGAGGTTAAGGGCTGAATAATTAGATTCTTTATTAACAAAGCAGTTGGAGAAGTTGATCTCCAAGCCAGGAAGACAAAGTTTAAATTCTACCTTTGATACACACTAGTAAAGTCCTTTAACCTCTCAGTGCTCTAGACAACTCATTAAGGTCATAATTTGCACTGAGAGAGGAAATTTCCTTATATAAGAATTCTCCCTATGAATGAGGTAAACCATAGTAAGTGTTTCCCTCAATATTCAATGATGTCCCAGGATTAGTCTTTAGTGCTAATATTATTGCTGCCTTGACTTGACCTGAAAGCTAGATCTTCCTTTTCTTGGCTCATTGAAAAGCTGGTACCTGCCATGTCTATTCTGAATCCACTTTCCCATCCTTTCTTACTAGCTGAACCATCCCCTTCTACATTTTGCTTATTTTTTTTCCTACTCCAATTCTGTAGATAGGGAATTAAGTTTAAATTACCAGAAAAATGCTGTAGAGGTTGAAATGAAGTTGAAGAATATTAAGAAGCATAGTAAACCTTATTTTCTTTCCTACTTTTAAAAATGCTTCTTAGTTTCTTAAGGTGAGAAGCTCTTATTAATTCATATCATTTGTAGCTGGTGACTTTGGTTCAGATTTTAGAATACACCTTATAAAAATAAATTTCAATCAACAAACATTTATGCTCTATTGCTCTCACCAATCTAAGCCAAGTAAAAGGAAAAAAAAAACAGAACCTTGTATCAAATATGCATAGTCAAATAAAGCAAATTCCCACTTTCTCTTCATCCAAAAAAAGTGTCTCATTCTTCATTCTGAATCCATCATCTCTCTGTCAGGAATTTGGTACTCTGGAATTATGGTTGGTATTGCCTTGACCAAAGTTCTTCAGTCATTCTGAGTCATTTGTCTTTACAATATTTTTATTGTTTGAATTGTTCTGGTTCTGCTCACTTCACTCCCAGGTTTCTCTTAACTTACCCATATATGAAAGTGCTAAAAAGGAATGTAGTGATACGTTTTGATTGTGTGTCTGTGTGCAAGCCACTTAAATTCTCCTTGCTCCTGGTAATTCTTGGAGACTTTTAAATAGTAGAGGAGTCACTGGTCTGCATTGGTAGAATACTATTTCTCTAAAACCATGAAAATCATAGGTCAAATTAATGATCCTAGTGGGTGGAGGTAGAAGAAGGGAGGATAAAATTGGGATGTTGTGTGAATACAAATAAAAAAAACAACCTATTAGGGAGAAATTCTAGAAGGAAGGGCTGGGGGCAGGGTATAGTTAATAGGAACTTAGAACTCAGTGTAGAATATCATTGAGTGTCCTAAGTGTAAAATTTAACACTTTTTTTGAGGGGGGGTTTCTCCTCTCCTTTAGTGAAGATGATTTAGCATTTTAAAGACTGGGCTCTGTCTGCTATCTAAAGTAAAGGACAAATATACAAGTCACAAATTGTGCTTCAGTTTGTACTCTCCAGTAAGAAGATCTTTGCTTTTAGGGGAATTCCTGTGCTTTGGTTGGTTTTATGAGAATACCATGATTATTTGTGTATTCTGGTATTAGCAATGGATAGCTAAGCCTGGAGAATTTTCTCTAACCCCTAAAGTCTGGGGTCTGGGTCACAAATATTTTTATACAAGATGGACTAGACTCTATTAATAAAAGAATTTGTTCTATGAAGTTTGAATTCAATCAAAGGGCCACACTTGAGGACCTAGAGGGCCACATGTAGCCTTGAGGCCACAGGTTCCCAACTCCTGGACTAGAGGATGGGAAGACCAGAAGGTAGATGAAAGTGGAGGAAGATCATTCTGGTAGCAAATATAATTATAATCATTATTTTAATAATTATTATTTAATCAATTATTTTGTTTTATTTTTAAAATAATTTTTTCTTTAAAAAGTTGCTGGTTATAAACCCAAAAGTATGAATGGATGTCTCTGAAGCAAATAAAGCTTGTAATAATCTACTGAGATACTCAGGATTTATTAGTAATTTGAACTGCTCTTTAGTCTTCAACCATTGCCTTCCCAGGCTCTCATAGAGAGCAAGACTGTCATTACAAGATCAGAATCAGTCTTGTAAGAAAAGAAATACAGGGGCAGCTAGGTGGGTGCAGTGGATAGAGCACCGGCCCTAAAGTCAAGAGGACCTGAGTTCAAATCTGATCTCAGACCAAACACTTGACACTTATTAACTGTGTGACCCTGGGCAAGTCACTTAACCCCAATTGCCTAATATATATATAATATTAGCAGATCCCTGCCAAACAAAACCCTTTTATTATTCTCTTTAAATGTAAT